AAAATAACCAATTAAACAATTTAAAGCATTTTTTTTAGGGTTGTCTTACGGATTTACTCGACTATATTCAAATCTTTGAATTATGTTTCAATTGTTTACTTATAAGTTCAGTATATTTTGAAAACACAGAAATTGATGTTGCTGACAAATGCTGTGAATACAATTCAGTGACACAAGAACAAAAAATCTATGTAAATAATACCCCCACCGCAGCAAGCCTGCAGTCTAAGCGAATTTCCATTTACCCGGTTCGTTCGATTTTTACTAAAATATTCCCACAAAATTGTCAGATTTATTTTCTAAATACCATTAATTTTAGTGAGTGGGTAATTAATTTTAGTTTTAGTGAGTTTTTTGGTGTTGGGGTTTGCTGCTATGGGCAAGATATTGAGGTGTGATTTTTATTGAAATGTTGATAACTATGTTGATAGCTTAGTATGAAATAAACAAAATTGCCAAGTTTGATTAAAATATATCCATAAACAACCAAACTACAACAGTTTATTTATCCTCCATAAGAATAACATGGGAATGTTAAATTTACAATTTTTAAAATTATCTCCAAACCGTTGGGCATACAACAACTCTTCAATATACGAGTACAAAATTATTTATTTTTTAAGTACTACAATATGGTTTGGAGAGAAATTTTAAAAAAAATTGTGTTTTTTTGGGGTCAAAAATAGGAAAAATCAATTTTCGCCCCATAAAACTGGTTAGCACACTCGTTCGAATAAACGTAGGTTTACACGTTTGTGCCAAAATGTCATCAAAATCGGATCATTTTTGCTCTAGTTAACCTCAAAACGATAACGTAAATCGGTTCCAGGTCTAGTCTTGCCATGTGTTACATGTCTCTTACCATGAGACCTAGGGTGAATTTTTGCTTAGTCCCTATATGGGAAATTCGCTAAAATTAGAGTTTTGTCTGTACACTGCTTAGAATCGTAAATGTTTCGGTTAGTTTCATCGTATGGAACGAGTATTACGATAGGAAAGCCATAACGCGTGCTATCTCAATTTCTGTATAAAAAGGTTTAGGTGTAAGGTTATAATACCCCCGCCGCAGCAAACCTGCAGACTAAGCGAATTTCCAATTGACTGATTGGATTTACACTGAAATGTCTACTTAAAAATATAACATTTATTCTCTATTTAAATAGAATTAGTTTAACTAGTACTTAGGTTTGCTGCATCAGGGAGGGCAAAACTGTTTTTTTTTTTTGTAAAACGTTAATAGTTAGTAAGAAATAAAAACATTTTCCAAATTTGATCAAAATATGTTCATAAACAAGCAAACTACAACAATTTACTTATTCTCCATAAGAATAACATGGGAATTTTAAATTTACAATTTTTTGGAATTTTCTCCGTAACCATTAGGAGCATAATAACGCTTCAATATACTAAATTATTTGTTTTTTAAGCTCTACAAAATGGTTTGGAAAGAAATTGCTAAATTTTATGTTTTTTGGGTCAAAAATGGGAAAACCTATTTTAACCCCATAAAACTCCCCGTAAACCCCCGTTCCCATTGTCCGATCATGCTGGATCGCGAACTCGTTCGAATAAACGTAGGTTTACACGTTTGTACCAAATTTCATCAAAATCGGATCATTTTTGCTCGAGTTATCGTGCTAACGGACACACATATATATATATGGCCTAAGAGCCGAAACATGTAAGTTTATTCAATAAGTTAATAACTTAAAAAAAGGGTACTAAATGTTTAATTATTTATTTCATTTATTAATATATATATATATATATATATATATATATATATATATATATATATATATATATATGAATTTGAACGGATGGTGTTTTTGGCCTCTAGGGGCTTTAAAATGAAAAAAAATCGGTCCCGCGTCCAGGTCTTACCATGAGTACTACGGTAATAGCTTATTCCCTATATGGGAAATTCGCTAAAAAGTACAAACAAAGAAACAGCCAAGAATAATTTATTCACAAACACAATTGTAGCGTATTACAATGTAAATGATCACTGTTTCTGTTTTACAGGGTTTTGCCCGTGGTCTGTGTGTACTGTTATCCAAGTGACAGCCGGTCTATGTGTAAGATTCAAATGTATACTTCGGTCCGTGGCAATGACCGCGGCACGTGTTAAACGTGTCGACATTTTAGATGAGTACGGTAACGCCAAATCCTGAACATATAAATCAACAAATCCTAAATTAACACATAGACCTATTCACTTCTTAAATTTAAATTGAAGATTCCACAGCATTTTAGAGTTTAAAGATTTGTCTAACCCTTCTAAAATGTTAACAATGTTTTAAAATGTAAATTTGGACGTCCACGGGGAGTAACCAGAGATGACTAGGCCTGCGTGTTAGGTACTGTAATTGGGTTATTAGAAATTATAGATAAAACATAGTCTCTTAGCTATTAACCTACAAAATCAGAGTAGGTAGTTTAGGTGTGGTTGAAAGAACTGGGCGCTGGGAGGCAAAACGCGATAATTCCTCGGACGATTCGGTAACGGGGATATTCCCCGCGAGCCGGGTAGATGCAGGGAGACGTCCGCTCAATTACCCACCCGAACCAGTTTTGTCCGCCTCACGCACTGTCCGCCTCAAGCACGTCCGGGGGAAACACGGCACCGTCAACACTCGCCGTATTCCTAAAACAGCAAAGCCAAGTTTGAGACGGAGCGAACTAACGTGGCTGCGGTTCCACGATAGAGTATCGTCAAGGATCATTCCCAGATGTTTGGTAGTAACAGCAATGTCGATGCCAGGTGGTCCGGTCACGCTCAGTTTCCTCTTCCCAGGATAAGCTGCGTGGTTTTATTTTCATTTTCATTAAAAACCAAATCGTTCGTCAAACAGCAGTCCTGGGCTAGGCCTACACTAGGCCTTGAACCTATATTTTCAACCATCGAAATCTTCCAGTTTCTGAGTGGTAGCCTGAATATAAACATAATCAATGCCTGAACACAAAGTAGGTAAAAACCATTTTGTGATCCGTGTAACTGCATGGGTGCAACTAATTTTAGCCTACGTTGCCAGGTTGCCTAAGAAGAAGTCTCTATTTCTTTTTCTCTACTCATTTGTGTTGTCTGTCTGTGAGACTAGAGTCTAAACCTTCGCTAAATCATCACGATGTTGTCCCCTGGCACTGCGGAGTGGGGGAAGCAAAGCATTCTATTGGCTGAGGGAACACCATTACCGCAACGATACGGTTTGGAACCATCGGCCTCGGTGGTCTAATGGATAACGCGCCGGGCTGAGGATCTGAAGGTACCAGGTTCGAATCCTCTCGGTAGCACTAACTTTTTGTTTAAGATTTTTGCATCATCAGCAAGTTTGGTTAGTTTGGTTAGGTTATGACAGTTTAATTTGTTAATTAAAACATTATAAAATTCAATTTGAGCTATTATAATTTTAGAACTATTTTTTTTCTATAAGTAAACCTTGTTCGATTTTTCATTATCAGCAAGTTTGGTTGGTTTGGTTAGGTTATGACAGTTTAATTTTATAATTAATAAATTCTAAAAATTGAATTCAAGGCATTTATAATTTTATTTTATAAACAGAACTATTTTTTCGATTAGTAAACCTTCATTCGATTATTATTTTATATAATCAGCATGTTTGGTTGGTTAGGTTAGTTTATGACAGTTTAATTTTATAAATATTCATTTTTTAACTTATTGAAAAACTGCAGCATAGGTATATGCATGTAAAACAACGCGGGCTTGTTTGGACGGTGACCATTTTATCACCCCCACAGTGTTGACAAAATATCGGTTCAATATCGTTTGTAGTCGTATCGACCATCACTTGCTATCGATTGTCGATTAAAACACACTAAAAGGGCTTGTGAAAAAATAACGCGTCTTAATTGGGTATACCTAACCTTTTAAAATAACGATTTGACAACTAAAGAAAGAATCTTTTAACCTAGTTACTAAACCAAGTATGAAAAAAAATCACGACAGGGTAGTTTGACTCGAAACTCAAGAGAAGGAACTATTTAGTCATTTAGTGTGTTTTGCCAGTCCTCTTTTACACATTTACCCATAAGCTTAAAAATAAACCAAGTGAGAGCCTGTTCCTGTATCATATTACAAATTACAAGGCTACTTTTGTTTTTTCAGTAGCTAAAGCATTTTCCAGCCACAAGGGTATTTAATATATTGTATATTTCAATAATTCATACGCTGGCTGGAACGGACCTGATAAAACTGATAATTACCTATTATTATTGTTATATATATTAGTTTAAAGAAAGTTTTAAAGTTAAAACCTTTTACCATAGGCCTATTCGTTAATGAACCATCTCGGTGTTTATTTAATTAGGCTTAACTTGCTTCAATTATTTATTTGGCCATTAAGCAATGCAATAGGCTATGTCACTCTCGATACAAAATAAAAAATAAATAGTCCGTCTTGACTCACAAATGCATGCTAGATAAATATTTCGATACACAACAGTGGCAGATGTAGGACCTCACTAACTGAACAATCCCAACCCAACAGTAAGTGAATATCATACACACATAACAATTCAGAAGCATAAGTAATATTTTTTGGATGTGCTAATAATAACTTAGGCTTAGAAGCCCAAGAAGTATTTTTTTTATGATAGGAATGCAATTTAGGAGGTGAGGATTGGCTTTGGCTTTGCTCTTGCTTGGCGTCTTGGAGGGACATCAGCAGAAATCGGTCGACGGTTGGTTGTCGTTGTCGCCTTGTCGTCGACGTCGATCCAGTGGTTGACTGGTTTGGTTATCGAAAACGATCTGTTTGGTCGGTTGACAATCGATTGGTCGATATGGTTACGAAAAAAATGTCAACACTGTGTTGGTGATAAAATGGGCACCTGTTTGGACGCCGTCTAGAGGGGAGGTGGAGGGAGAATCATTTCCCCCACTCCGCAGCGCCAGGGGACAACATCGTGATGATTTAGCGAAGGTTTAGACTCCAGTGTCAGTGAGTGTCATTGTCTTGTCGTCTTGTCATTCTTGTCTCTCTATCACAACTCACAGCCACAGCAGCAACTGTCTGTTTCTGTCTGTCATGTCAATCCAGCCACACAGAATGACAGAATCAGAATAGTATATTATAGAATTAGTCAACAGTCAACACACCTCAACAATAATATTATATTAACATCAGCAATGCATACAAATTTTGAATAGGTTGGCTTTAAAATACTTTTGGAATTTGATATTTTGTTTAACTACTGTAAATGGCAGGAACGTATTATTTTGTGATCGTTGGTCATGAGGATAACCCAGTTTTTGAAGTTGAATTCTCCCCTCCAACTAAAGATTTGAAGGTTTGTTTTTACTATTATGCTCTTTTGTTTAGCTCACCTCGTTGTCTTTATAGATTATGGTAATGGATTAATATTAATGATGATTATAACCAGGCCCACCCCTTCCTTTAGGCCTAATCTGCTTTTTTATTGTTGATGACATATTTTCTCTAGGCCCTAGTATATAGCCATTAAAAAGACCTAAACTAGCCTACAATGGATTGTTTAGCTAGCAACATTTTAGTTGCCATTAGGTATGAGCTATTAATTAAGTTAACAGCTGTGTAAGTTACCTAAGGAATATATCGGCCTTAGTCACTAACAAGACTACAAGATCGCGCCACTCATCCTTCACTCATATTTGGGTTCAAATACGCACATAGTGGTGTCCCCATCTTCAATAATTCATAATTGATACTATAGGTGCCCCCAAACAAATTTTTAATTTTGATATCTTAGTTTATATGTTTTTACGGTAATTATTTACCCTATTTACTTACACTGGGATTTGCTGTAGTTTTGGTATGTCTACTTACAGTATTTTTAACGCTGAATCCAAAAATGCAATCAGTTTTGGTCGGAGAGAATCCTAAGTGGCCGTACAGTTATATAATTAATATTAAGCTTCAGTTTTGTTGATTTATTAACATATTTGTGGTATGGACGAGTCCAAGATCTAGTGGTGACTAACACTAAAAGGGTTGGAAGGTTTGTGGAGTGGAAACAGCTGTCAGTTGTTTACATTCTATTAAACAGACAAAACCACACACGACACCATGAGAGCAAAATCAGAGTTACAATATGCAATAACTAGATTTTAAAAAGAAAATGAACTTTGGTGCTGTTTATAAAATACAATAAATCAACTACCATATATAAACTATTAATCACATGAACATAAATTATAAAACAAAGTAGAATTTATTCACGTAAAATATCAGTAAGAAGCTAGGCCACTGCCGACATGATCATCGTCCTCATTCCAATCCTCAACCATTGGCTAATGCCTCAACGTCTGGTAATGAACGTGCCATAGTGCATAATCCCATAGTACATAATCCGTGTCTAAAAGTGAAAACGTGCCACAGTGCATAATTTAATGTATCAGCAACTAATAAATGATGTTACATAATCTAATCTAATCCAACCTAACCCAACCCAACCTTAATATTAATGTTTAAATCACTTTTATGTCAGAAAAGGCATGTGAGGAAGATAGGTCGGACTTTATGCGGATTCGTGACTGTATTAAGTCCTTTGAAGTGAGGTTAGATTCTAAGGTAAGTTAAAGGTTAGGTTAAAATGAACCGACTCATTAATTTATGCAACGCATTTTTGATATCGTTATTTCATTCTGTTTCACCCACTATTTAATTGTGCAAAAACAGTCTGGAAGTTGCATAAATTAATGAGTCTGTTCATTAACCTAACCTTTACCTTCCTAATCTAACCTCACTTCAAAATACCTAATACAGTCACGAATCCACATAAAACCCGACCTACCTTCCTCACATGCCTAAATAAGAACTGATTATTTGGTTTCAAAACGAATTGATTTGATTTAATTCCGCATTAGATCAAGTATAAACAGTTGTTTGCTCTTCTCACTCAGTCCTCACTCCTCACTCTTCACTCAGTAGTCAGTACGGACCCGTCCAGACCACGCCATATTACCATAACCTTCAGTACCGCTCAATTATCCTGAGATTTGTAATCCTAACCTTCGTTTTACAGCCACTACGGCCACTTAGGAATCTCTCCGACAAAAACTGATTGCATTTTTGGATTCAGCGTTAAAAATACTGTAAGTAGACATATAAAAATTACATCATATCCCAGTGTAAATACGGTAAATATTTGCCATTTTTACCTCCTGAATCCAAATATACCATTAATTTTACCGCTGATGAATATTATTTAAGATATCGCCGTAAAAGTATACAAAATTAAAATAAACAAGGTAGAATGGATGACATTTACAAGTGGAATGAACTGTGGATGAAGTAAGTCTACAGCTGATTGTTAACACTGTCCCTCACAGACAAGCAATGGTAGGCTAGTGACAACTTTATTAGCTATAGTTGAATAGATTACTGAATAGGACCGAAACCAGTTCGAGTCGGGTGGGGTGAGGACAAGCGACATCCAATCAGCTTTCAGAAAACTGTCCACTGTTGCCAAGTTGTGCCATGCACTCAGTCTTTGCCCGACAGCCGGCCTGTGCATTTAGAGTGTATCCTTGTGTTTTCTCAAGAAATTGCCTTAAGCGGCCCACACACTACACATGCATTGCACACCATGCAAGCACGTCGTGCCAAAAACAGACGAAACGGGCAAGTGTGTGGTTGAATACCGTGCAAGCACGGCGTGCATTGGCATGGCACGGTGAAAATCAAAATGAGTTTGATTTTTGGCGTGCCGTGCGAAAGTCTAGTCAATGATAATATTTTGTAATCAATGATGTTATTCTTCTCATCATCTATGTTCTCTCTTCAATTGACCAGCGTAGCAGACAGACTAGCAGTAGTGCAGCACAGTATTGGTTTTGTTATTCTACTAGTTCTAGTACCTTGAGGTAGCCTATTTTATAAAAAATATGCCTACTTATTTAAATTCATTTTCTTAGATTTCCCTACTGCTCTGTCAAACGACTGACTTGACTTACTTATGCATTAAAAGTGGGTAGCGTCAATAATTTTTTACCTGCAGATAGTTTATTCTAGGCTACTGAGTAGGCTAGAATATAATCGATAGAAACATCCTGTTACAAATTTATTATGGTTGCTTCCATAGTGTAATGGCCTATAATACTATGGGGAAACAGCACTGAAGCTCAAAGAATCTTTATGTTACAAAAACGAGCAGTAAGAACCATCTGTAAAATGAGAGGTCGGGATTCCTGCCGAGATACCTTCAAGGAACTTGGCATTTTAACTCTACCAGCAGTTTATATTCTGGAATGTGCCGTTACTGTCAAAGCCAAGCCTGAATGTTTTACCATCAACAATAGTATTCACAACTATAACACCATACAAGCACAAAATCTACATGTACAACAAGTAAGAACAGCATTAGTTAAAAAAAGTCCCTATCACATGTGCATAAAATTATACAATAGGCTAGTTTACCTCAAAATTTAAAAAATGAAGATCAAAATGGCCTCAAGAAAATATTAAAAATGTACCTGGTAGAGAAGAAAATATATAATGTAAAAGAATTCCTGGAAGAGTAACAGAATAAGAGAAATGAAGAGTAAATATAATTAAGTATAATTAAATATAATTAAGAGTAAATACATTGACGACCGTAGATACGCTTCCAGTGGGATATAAAAAAAAGGCTATTGTATTTTTCTCTATTTTTTTCTCTCTTAAGTGAGGCACCAATGTTTTTTAGAATGGCCTTACCTGTCGGGCAAACATGGCTTCTCTCCGGGTAGATCTTATAACAAACTTGATCATGTTTCACTCCGACATCATTTCCCCGTTCATCTGGAATACTGCTCAGTAGTGTGGACCCCATACCAAATCAATCTTCAAGAAAGGCTTCAGTCAATACAGACTCGTTTTATCCGCCTGGTGGGTTTTTCGCCTTGGATACCACTACGTAGATGTTCCAGTGAGTGCCTTGGCAGCTGTCATGGATCTTCGTACGCTGGTGTCTAGGAGGAAAATCTTCCATCTAATGTTCCTACATAGACTTGTCAACGGAGAGATTCTCTGCCCGGAGTTGCTTGAGCGGATTAGTTTCCATGTTCCTGCGGGTACCAGATCAAGTTCTTTGCTAGGTCTTACCATGCTAGGCTTTATGAACAGAACAGTGCTATTGCTCGCATACAAGATCTGGGGAACTCTCTGCCTCCTGAAATTGATCTCTTCAACTGCAGCGCCACATGCTTCAAGAGATTGATCAGCTCACTTCCACTGGATTAGTGAAGATCTGTCTACTCCAAGACTTGTCATTAGTAGTACTGTATTACTCTTTCATTCAGATTTTGAAATTCTTCTTATGTTGTTTGTAATGTTCACATTCTCTTTATTCTTCTCATCGTTCTTATTGTTATGCCATTGTTATTCTTATTGTTATTGTTATTAATGTTGTTACACTTTTTGTTATTATTAAGTCATAATTGAAGCCAAAAAGTTGTATTTATGAAAGTTGTACTAACAGTTACCTGGCGCGCGTTGCTGCGCTAACAACAAAATAATAAAAATTTGCAATAAAAAATAACAAAATGCTAGGCCTATATCAAAAATAAATACCCCTGCCGCAAGAACCTGCAGACTAAGCAAATTTCCATTTGTCTGTATTGATTTCCAATTAAATCTATTTAAATAACATTAGGTTTAACAAGTACCTAGGTTTGCTGCTACAAGGAAACTAATAAAGTGTATTTTTTAGTAAAATATTAATAGCTTAGTACAAAATAAATAAATTTGCCAAGTTTGATCAAAATATATCCATAAACAAGCAAATTGCAACATTTTACATTATTCTCCATAAGAATAACATGGGCATTTTAGATTTACAATTTTTAAATTGTATATATATCTATATATATAGCCTATATATTTGTACAAATTGTGTTTTTGGCCTCTGGGGACATCAAAATGAAAAAGTAAATCGATCCCGGGCCAAGGTCTTACTGTGCCACCTACGGTAATAACTACTTCCCTATAGGGAAATTCGCTAGAATAGAATATTGATGATTGTTGCTTCGATCAAGTTTGGCATCATTTTTTTAATCGTCAGTTTGGTTCCGTTGCACAGCTTGGGTTGATTTAAGTTTCGCATTAGTATTATTGGAGTTCCTTCTTTTAATGACAGTAATATGGTAGGTTAATGACAAATTGAGGGCATTTGAATACCTGAGATACCACACACGATTATTATTCACTTAATAATTTATGTTATTGTTGATATATGTATATAGTGAAGTCCATGTTTAGAGGTATTACTCTTTGGTCTTTGTGTATTCTCTTTTAAGTGTATTTGATTTCCGATTCAGAATAAAAGATGTC